CAGAGCAAGCTGTGTTAAGTGATAAAGAATGTGATCTGCTAGTACGAAAAGAGTATGATGAAGGTTTGTGTTTTGGATTGCACTTCTTATGAACATTGTTAGAAGAGAAGATTGTTTTGATGAATAGGTATTACTATTACTATTACTATTACTATTACTATTACTATTACTACTACTATTACTACTACTATTACTATTACTATTACTATTACTATTACTATTACTATTACTATTACTACTACTATTACTACTACTATTACTATTACTATTACTATTACTATTACTATTATTATTATTATCAATTATAAAGAATTCACAACCAATTAATATTTCTCAAATTTTTACAAAAATTATTTCTGTAATGATAATTTCATATTTTTATCAATTTCAGTAAGCAGAAATTTTTATCACAATTTAATTTAAGAACAAATAATATTTCAAAAATGTATTTTCCTTATCAGGAAAAACTTCTTTATTATAAATTCAAAAAAAAAGTTCAAAAAAATTTTATTAAAACTTTTTGTTTTAAATTTATTAAAACAAACTAAAACAAAGAATTAATTTTAGTTGCTAAAATAAATCTAACAAATTTCTAATTTTTCTTATTCAATATTAATAAATTATTGGGAAGAAGAAAAGTGTAAAAGTGAAGAAATCATTTTTAGTTGGATATATTCGAAAAGAAGTATGCAACATTGATAAAGAAATTCAAACCAGTCATTTCACATGTTCGAACTGATATTAATAGGCGAATGATTTGGAATGTAAAATATGCCGATGAAATAATTGAATTTATGACGAAATATTTACAGCCTTGAGAAATTTTTCACGTCTGATTATCATTTTTTCTTTTTGTTATATTACCAGATTTTTAACATTGTTGTGAAAAGCAAAATGATAACTTATCAATGAATAATATTTGGACAATTAGTAACAGTAATTTAGATTTGAAATGATTGTTGAATTTTCAACAGATAGATTTTACGATATTAAAGTGTTAAGGATTATCCTAATTAGCTTAATCGATTTGATTTCGCTTAATAAGCTAAGGTTTAAAAGGAAAAGCAACAATTTCAAATTTAATTTAAATTTCAAAAAAAAAGATTTTGAATTCTTGGAATGTTTAATATAAAGAAATCGGAATAAATGTTAAATCTATTAAATAGTTAATAGGTAAGAATGTGACACTTTTACCTATCTTGAAATTTTGATAATATATCATAATACTCCAATCAGGATAATGAAACATTAATGTATTAATGAGTGAGTGATAAATGATAAATGATCAATGAGTGTAGTTAATACGTAAGAATGTGATACTTTAGCCTATCTAGAAATATTGATAACGTATCATAATACTATTTCATTCCAATCAGGATAATTAAGCATTGATTTAATGATGAGTGAGATGATAAATGATAAATGATCAATAATCAACGAGTGATATTTCTCAATTTTATTTTGATATTGTAATGATATTTATTTTTTCATACTGATAACTTAAAATTTATTTGTTTTATTTATCTTTTTGTATTCATCGATTATCAGTAAACAATTTTTCAATTATTTATTTATTTATTTATTTATATTTCATTTCCTAATTTTTGCTGTTATTTCATTTCAGCCATTGTATATGTTTATAAAATATTTTGTAATGTTTTTCTTCCTCTTTCTGATATGTTTACCGTAAAGCTGAATAAAATATATTTTGGATGGTTTACATTTTATAAATGCTTTTTTTTAATTTCTCATTAATTAATTAAATTATATTTCTTTTTTGTTTTAATTTCAAAATTTTAATTAGCTCTTATCAGTAATTGCAAATGTATAAGTAAATATTAAAAGTATTATTAAATGTGAATGGATTTCATTCCAAAAAAATTGTAGAAACTTCTTGAAACTTTATATAATTTAAAAACAAAACAATAAATGTAAATTTATAAATAATATTACTGTATAAATAATTATCAAACAGTATTTATGAAATTTAATCATCAATACTTCTTGATAATTTCTGATAACATATATTTATCAGAAGATTTCATTCCACTCCCATATTTCTGCATTGAATTTTAAAATAGAATTTCAAAAATACCTCAGGGATTTCACATTCTGATTAGAAAGAATCATTTGTATCATTGCTATTAGATGTACCACAAATCTATATAGATTAGAATTTCCCATGATGTTTGCCCAAAAGACAATCCAGTTAATGAACGGTTTTGATGTCTGAAACACAATAATTGCACTGCGAGCTCTTCCGCTGTTTACAACGTTGCCAGTCTTGATTGTATGTGATATTAGAGTTGGCATTGTCGCTGGAAATTCCGATCTATGGGAAATCCCGGTCTACAGGAAACTAGTTAATGAGCGGTTGCCTCAAGATATGATGGTATTTCCAAAATTTGAGTAAAAATTTTTCAACGCTTGGTTACATTGCCTATGTTGTAAAAAAATTTATATGAAGTGTTGTTTGCTAGCCGGTTTACTTGGATTGTATAAAATATGATTAGTGCTATTATTACCAAAAAAACTTTGCAGATTATGGATTCACCTCGTATTCACAAGTCTGATTTTGACTTAAGTTTAGTATAGTTGATTTTCAGTATGACAAACGAGGATGAGTCGGGTGTGAAGGTTGATACTGATGGATTATCGGAGGAAAATTTGTATCGATTAAACTTGATTACAAGGAATTTACAGGTTTGTTGCAGCTATAACTTATTATTTCATATCTTAAAGCTAATCTTTTGTTTATCATATCTTTCAGGAAGTGTTAGGATTGGAGAAAATTACGAAACAGTTAGCCTCGAAAAAAAATATTCATGTCTATTGGGGCACAGCGACTACAGGAAAGCCCCATGTAGGATATTTTGTACCAATAAGAAAAATTGCGGACTTTTTATCCGCGAATCTTCGGGTATGTATTGTGAATTATTTTCAAAGCAGCGTTCCTAGTGATATCTTGAAAATCACTTATGGTTTCAAAATTCCAAAATTAATTTTAAAAGATTTTTATTTATTCAAGCCTTATTGTTTTTATTGTTGCTCGTTCCTATTTTCTCAACAAAATGGAGTAGTTTTTCATTCAGGTGACAATACTGTTTGCTGATTTGCATGCTTTTTTGGATAATTTAAAAAGCACTTGGGAGGTTCTGGATAATCGAGTGTTATATTATGAAAAAGTGATCAAAGCATTGCTTACTGCGTTGCACGTACCATTAGACCGGCTACATTTTGTTAGAGGATCATCGTACCAATTAACGAGGTTAATTTTCTATCGGAATTAGATAGCATTAGTAATTTTGTAGAATTTTGTAGGTTTGATTTTGAAATATGTTTCCATTACTTTTGCATGAAACAAGTTAATAATTTGTATTTTAAGAGAATATACGTCTGATTTGCTTCGATTATGTAACATTGTAACAAGGAGAGATGCTTTACGTGCTGGCGCTGAAGTGGTAAAGCAAGTAAGATTTTTTTCACATGAATATATGATGAAGTTTAAAGTGAGGTATGTAATTAAAATGTCAAAATAGATAGTGCAATGATCTTTCATTTCTTGTAGGTGGCATCACCTTTATTGAGTGGTTTACTTTATCCATTATTACAAGCTTTGGATGAGCAGTACTTGAAAGTTGATGGTCAGTTTGGTGGAGTAGATCAAAGGAAAATTTTTATTCTGGCTGAGGAGCAGCTTCCAAAACTAAAATTGGGTAAAAGGTTTCATCTTATGAATCCTATGGTACCTGGATTGCAAGGATCAAAGATGAGCAGGTAATTTTTCAGTCCTAGGCCTATTGTTATATAAGTTTCATTTTGAATGTTGTCAGTCCGTTTCTGGTTTTGATAAGTGAGACTTACTTTCTAATGTGATTTCTCATCACATGGAAACTTATATCTTCTTTTTAAAATTTGCTAAAATTCATTAGGGTTTATTGTTTCCATATCAAAATTTAAGCATTTTGGTTTAGTTCAGAAGAAAATTCAAAAATTGATTTGCTGGATGAAGCAGATGTTGTGCGGAGGAAGATCGATAATGCTCTCTGCAGTCGTGATTCTGATGAAAACGGTGTACTGGCATTTTGTGAATACGTTTTATTTCCAATCATTTCGCCAAAAGCAATCAGTTTTGAAGGAAGGGACTACGATAATTATAAGAATTTATTTGAAGACTACAATAAGGGAAGGATCTCTGAAAATGGCTTGAAAGAAACTGTAAAGGTTTGTATTGTCTCAGATTTTATCTTTATATCGTGTTGCATTAAACTTTGAAAGAAAATTAATAGTTATCATGTCTTTTGTCTTTTAATGAGTTTAACTTATTTATTTGTTTGATTAGTATTATCGGTATAAGTAAGTAATGATAGATAATGAGGAACTATAATTCATTTGCATATTCTAATACGCCTGCTATGTTCTTAAGTAGCAAACGTGCGAAATATGCGAAATTATCGCTGTAGCAAAGGATCGAAATTAAAAGTTTTAATGCATGCAGGATTCTGATGCTGCCACAACTTGTCGCTAATACTGAATCGTGCCTTGAAACAGTATATGTTTAAAAAGTTATTTTGTATTGTAATAGTTCACCTTTTATTAGTTTTTTTGACGTTTGGACCGATTACATTCTATAACAGAAATGCTTTTGGTAAGGAGCATCTTTCGAAAAATACCTTTGTCCTATTAGAAGCACTTGCATCTTCACTTGCATCCAAACTTACATCCCATCACTACTGTTATGGTGGAGGGTGCGGAGCTGTTCTGTTAGTGTGTGGGGCTTTATGGTTCATTACCCTTGCAGGCATACCTCTAAAACTGGTACAGGAAATTTATATTTATGTGCCGGTTTCGCAGTATGCAAAATAGTTATCGAATATCTCATTAGATGCAGTGATAATTCATTGTACTCTGTAGTGCTTATTCGAACACTTCGATTCTCTTGTTTTCGTTTTACATTGCTTTCCTGCTGACTTCACTCGCTTTTTCATCTCCATTTTTTGTTATTTCACTTCATCGTGTTGCTTTTTTTGTTTGATTATTTTGCTTCTTAGTTTTATTTGTTATTGTTTTTTTTGCAGGAGTTCATTTGTAAGATACTGGAAGAAGTGCAAAAGAACTGTATGGACAATGAAATGCTATCATTATTAGAAAAAGGATATTCCAAAAATATGTTTGGTAACAATTTACCACACTCTGATAGTCCTGTAACTGATGGCGTCACATTGAATGATGCAGAAGATCAAAGGTTTCGAGAAATCATCTGTGATGCTAAAGTATTTATGTTTTTAAGATTGCATTAGTGTTTTCTGTATAATTGCCATTTATTTGATTCTGCAATTTTAATGGCTATATCAAAAAATCTTGCACAAGTTATTGAAGCTATAATCCTATATATTGCAGTTAGTCAGTGGTGAAGTGTGGCTTAAGAGACGAATCAAAGAAAATAGTTTGTTACGTGTTGTTTATACGATAGCACCAAAAGGTCACTTCCATCTTGGTTTTGTTATTCCGCTTTTGAAATTGAAGGTATGCCAGCAGAATCTTGTTTTTGCATATTTTTCTATGACTCAGGATAAGGAAGTAAATTTATTGCCTTGTTGTTAGCCGTTTTCAACGTTCTTTTAGATATTAGCTTTATCAAAGTTGAGCAAACATGCATCAGTTTATGCAAGCAAAACTTATAGCTGATATTTTTCTGCCCGGAAGGATTTATTTTCTCTAGCATTTTTGACCACAGTTTATTGACCACATAGAATATATATCTTTAACGACATATTCAATTATCGTTTTTTATTTTTAGAAACTGCAGTTGCTGGGAAATATTTCGTTAACAGTAGTTTTGGCTGATATCGATGCTTTTTTGGATAATGAGAAATGCTCATGGAATGTTCGAGAAGCACGCTGTGATTATTATGTCGTGATTTTGCAGCAGATCTTTGGTCTGCTTGACTTGAAAGATGTTAAAATTGTTCGGGGGTCAAGTTATCAATTGGAACCGTGGGTTTTTTTTTCTTGTTAAATCTCTATTTATGATTGTTAGTCCAGATAATTAGATATATTCCAAGTTATTGAAGGATGCTGGTGGATCTAGGAGCATATCATCATCATACGATGTTACTTTGTAACTTCAACCAGAATGGGTAGTCGATATTGGCTTGTACTTGCATACCTTGGTTATGTATAAAGCAAGATAAAGTTTTATTCTCAGGGAGTATACCTTGGAAATGTATCAGATGGCTTCGAAAGTAACACGAGATGAAGCATCCATCCTCGACGGAGTGACGTTGGGCTCACTATTATCACCTTTATACTTCACCATTGACCATTATCATATGAATGTTGATATTGTCATTATGGGTGAAGAAATGCTCCCTTTTTCGGAGTTCTCTGAGAAGGTTTTCAATCATTTAGTTTTCAAATTAGAGTTGAATTTCACTCTGTTATTTTCACTGATTATGATACAAGTTGCTTAAAGTAGAGAGTAATACAGTTTGAGGAGTCTGACAATTTTGACAGAGCACATCCTTTTTTGTTTGTTTTTCATAGCAACGCTATAAACACGTCACTTCTGATTCCCCTCTTCCATAGAATTACTAGAATTTCGCTTTTTTTCAGCTTTAGATCGTACTTTATCACATTCGGATTTTTTAGATGATTCAACGACGTGGGCAGCAATCCCGTGCGCATTTGTTAGTCCCACTTTTACCATCTATGTCGGGTAGTAAAATGTCTGCATCAGATCCTGAATTTCATCTGGATCCTCTGGATACACCAAAACAAGTTAAGCAGAAAATCGCGCGTTCATTCTGCGAACCCGGTAATTTGAAAGGCAATATCGCCTTCGAACTTGCAAAACACTTTATATTCTCATATTTTGGATCAAGTGAGTCATTGCCTTAATCATTTTTCTGTTTGGTTATTAAAAACTGTGTGATGCAATCTTAAAATAATAGCTTTTTGGCGACATTTTCTTTAATACATATTGTATAATAAATCCTCCTGTAATAGCATGACTGGTTCTAATTGATCTGAAATTTGCTTATTACTCTCTTTTAGCTGTTTAAATCCCACAATTCAAATCAGTGGAAATATAACAACTTCCTCTGATAATTCCCTCTGCCTCTAATGTTAAAGTAGTTATATATTCTTCACTTACTATCTATTCGAAAATATTTTAGAAGTGTTCTAGATTATTTGAATTTTATGATGAACCATTTGTCGAAAATTTTAGCATTGTTAATCGAACGTTCAGAAGAAAACGGTGGAGATATAGAGATTAATGGTTGTGATGAATTGGAAAGAATAATTGTGGATGGAAGTTTGCATCCTGCAGATTTAAAGGCAGTAGTTGTATCCAAAATCAATCAGTTCTGTGATCCTATTCGGACATGTTTTAGTACTAAAGCGAAATTAATATCTGCAGCATTCCCTATTAAAAAAGGTGGTAAAAAATAGCTTTACAGATAATTTAAACGATAACAGAATAAGGTTTGTGCTTTATGCATGCTCCTATAAAATTTTCTAGGAATGTTCTAGATTGAAGATAATCATGCTCTTTATTTTTTCGACCTTATCCAAGAGCTTATGCGAAATTATTTGAAGTCTATCTTCATTAACTACTCATATTACAGAGGAATGATGCTGGAATATCAGCAATGCGTTTTCGTTTTTTTCGGGTATCACATTAGGCTATGCTTTGAGTTCTCCCTGTTCTTGTCTAATAAGATTGGCGCCGCGATCCGTTCAAGCAAATTAAGATTCATTTGTGATTATGACAACTGCTTTAAAATAATAAAAGCGGAGAATATGAATATAATTAAAAATTTAAAAATAAAACAAAAGTGTTACTTTTACAAAAATTTTCTTACGCTTTTATGCTTGTATGTTTATCTGCCAGATTTTGTTCATATTAAAATTGTTGAATGTTGTTCCTTTTGTTGTCATATAATAAAAGTCGATCTTTCGCTTTTCATAGCATAAATAACCCTACAGATCATCTGTCAGTGTTTTGCTCTCAAAATTTATAACAATTTGAGTCAAGTGTCTTATCTCATAGTTTATGCAGGAAATCATTTATTATATCGGTGGATAGATCTGTGACAGACAGAGATCAAAGTTCAGAGTCCTATCTTTTATATATAATCCGCTCTCCATGTTTTCCACGCGACAATTTCGGCTGTACTATGTTAAACTCCCCACTTGGATACGCATGCGCTTTGATCTATTTGAGTGATCTTGATAAATTAAACCATACTCAAAATGAGTTTAATTATTTAATTATAAATCATTTTTGATATGTCAAAGCGAAAAACTATCTTACTTCATAATCATTGCAATAGTAAGCAATAATGGGGATAGTATGATGATTGTTGGTAAACACCATTTAAGTGGGATTGTTCGAGGCGATTAAAGGATCATTATGATGATTTGGAGAGTGCCAACGCCTTAACTTATTCTTAATAATAGACTTTTAGCAATGGAAGATAGATAATGATGAAGAATTTGAAGATAATATAAAATGATTTGGATAGTATCAACACCTCAACTTAATTCCTAATAATAAACTTTTAGTAATGGAAGATTGATAATAATGGATGAAGAATTTGAAGATAAATAATATATTAGCAACTGATTTGAAATTCAAGAAATTCAACTCGTTGTTTAAATAAATTTAAATGCATTCCCATACCATAATTTAAATCATTTAAGCAAATGACAATAATATTATTTCATAATTTCAGTTTTACCAAATTACTCCTCAAATAAAACTTTCATTATCATTTTATTGAGTGATTTAATCAGGTAAATTTTGAGAACAATAGCTAATTGATATAATTATGAATGATATGATTGTAATTAAGGATAAGTATGATTCAAAAGAATGATAATAATATTTTAGCGCTGCTAATAAAAATCCATTTCATTTCACTTTTATTTTCTTTTACCCTTTCTTTACTACTTCCTCTTCCTATTTTGGTTTTCGCTTTTTTGCGGTACCATAACATCTCTTGATTTAAAGTGAAGACAAAATATGCGAAACTCACTCTCATACGACAACTCACTTTGTCGTATTTACCACCTGCGGTGACTTTCAATCAATTCATTGCGGAATCTTAGTGATGGTATTGTTAATGGAATGAATCCAACTGGTAGGTTAACTAAAATGTTCCTCATATATAAAGACACTATTA